TGTTAGAGAGAAAGATTTAAAGTAGCTTATATATGTATGGATAAAGAGAAGATGCAGGCAGAGTAAAAAAGATCGGATCATGCAATTCAGTAAATTTGGGGTAAATGGCAAAACCTACATTTTTCATTTACCCCAAATTTGCTCACTCTTATAATATTACATTGGATCATATAAGCCAGAAAATTTGAGGTACCTGGAAAAAAATCTATTCTCGGTAATTTTTAATAAGCATTAATCTGGTAAAAGTTATTCTGATTAAAAAATTAAAGAAAAAATTATTCTGATGTCTGACTAATGGTAAGAAAGACATTACCTAAGACTACTGTGATAGTGTTAAAACTATGGCAAAGGGGAGACAGATTGACTCAACTTTAAAAACAGTAAAGACAGCAGGGGATTTGTAGCCAAGGAGCTGGTTGAGGGTAATGGAATAAATACTAAGAAGACACATCACAGGTGATGACACTTTATAGGAATGTAGTTCCTGCTGCTGTACCAGATCCTTTTAATAGACCCTTTATACAATTCTTAGAACCAATGAAAATAAAAAGCTTCATATATTTTGTGTTGTTGTCAGTGAGTATGGATAATATAATCAATGTATTTGTGATTTTTTATTATATAAAACTATAATGCCTTTTGATTAAAAAAACAATTGTAATCTGTTTTCTCTTACATGCTAAACCGACTTAACAGAATTCCTACTGAAAGGCAGGCCAGGGTGATCAGATACCAAGAGTGCAAGTGAGGAGTTTGATAAGGTCTTGAGAGTGACAAGATATCAGATTCGGGAGGATTCTCTCTAAACTGACCTAGCAGAATTTGGGCTAAAATGGATTCCACAGAGACAGACACTGAAGCCCAAGGTTGAGGCCTAGCTGAGAAGTGGGCTCAGAGGAGCCTGACTAAAGTTGGGTCAAGGAGAGAGTCTTCGTCAGTTGTGTAGTGACTACAACAAAGAAGAACATGCTAATTCAACTCAAGTCTGATTTTATCATTTCGGTTTCAGGGTTTTTAACAAAAGCTACACTGCAAGGCAGTTACGAAGACAAGGTGGCATATAAGCAGAGGTGGTGAGGAAAGGAGCCATGGGACTATTTTAGAGCCCAACAAGTACAACTGCTCTATGGCATGCTGGGTGTACTGAAGGAGCTACAGAAAATTCACTATTAATAGAGTGAAATGATCAAAGGATAGAGACATAGTACTTCAGGGAAGAGGTATCCTGGGGACCATTTCAGACCTTAGAGGACATTGTGAGATCTTGGGGAAGAGGAATACTGGGGATCATTTCAGACCTTAGAGGACATTGTGAGATCTTTGGTTTTAACTCAGAATGAGATGGGAGCCCATTGGAGGATTCTGAGTAAAGATCTGATTTTACATTTCAACGAGGTTGATCTGGTTGCTAAGATGAAATAGAGCATAGGAAGGCAAGAGTGGCAGCAGGGAGATCAATGAGGGAGTTTCTACAATAGCCCAGGGCAGGCATAGTGGTGGCCTATTTCAGGAGACTGTCGGTGAAGATGGTAAGTAGTGGTATGATTCTGAATATGTATGCAGAGGTAAAGGGTTTGCTGATGGATAAGACTAATATGCTAGAAAAATGAGATAATTTTTTTTTCCTAGATGGGAAAGACTGCAGCAAAAAATAGACAATTTGAGGGAAGAACAGCAGCTTGGTTTTGGACATTGTTTTTCAATGCCTAGTAGACTTCCAAATGGAGGAGTCAGGGCCTGAGGATAGATAATATTTTGAACCACTGGGTCTGATCATCTAGGAAGTAAGGGTACATAGATTGGTCTAATGACTGATACCTGGAGTGATCACTTATTTCTCTGTGTTGTCCTCCCTTGCCTCTGCTGGTCACTCTGGATTGACTTCGAAATCACATTTTAGGTGTGTTCTTTCATGCCACTGTGCAAACAGCTTCATGGTACTTTCTGAATCACATACTTGCCTGTTGACTGGTCACCTCTTCCATTGTACTGTGAGTTCCTTGAAGAAAAGCTCTTTACCACCTAAGTGATTCTTGAATGCAAGAATACATAAGCCTTTGCACTTAAGATAAACGCTAAGTGATATTTGTTCCTGTCTTCCTCACCCACCTCGTCTCATGCTATGCTGCTTGGCTCACCCACCCCAAGCACCTTCATCAGTTGCTCATAGACATATCACTGTCTCAATTCCTCCAGCCTCAGGGCTTCTTCTGACTGTTTTTCCTCATGGAATGCTTTTCTCCCTGCATTCTTTGATATGCTAATTTATTTTAATCTACCATGTTCTAGTGAAAATGCTAAATTTTAAGATACTTCCTGAACTTTCATTCTGATCCTCCTCCATTTTGTCTCTGCTAACAGTGTAAATGTGTGAATTCATAGCCATGATCACAATTTATGGACTTATAAGTATTTATATGATTACTTGTTTACTACTTAATTTCTTAATAGTTCTGTGAGAACAAAAGACCACATTTTTTTTATTTATTCATAGGAATGCATTCCTTGCCATGGTACCAGAACTTAATAGACCCTTTATAAAACTCTTAGAATAAATGAAAATAAAAAGCTCCATGTATTTTGTATTGTTATAGATGAGTAAGGATAATATAATCAGTGTATTTGCGATTTTTTTATCATATAAAACTATAGTGCCTTTTGGTAGAAACAATTGTAATCTGTTTTCTCTTACATATGAACTTATGGGGTAAGAATTAGTCTCCCACTTGCTCAGCAGCACCTGGTTTTTATAAGTCAGTAAGCATTTTCCCTTTGTACAGAAAAAATGTACTTACAAGATCTGGATCCCACCCTTAGGGAATGTTCCATTTCCTCTCACGACTTTAGCATGTCATGTGGAGGAACATATCAGAAATGTATATTTGCTTCTGAAAAACCACAGCATAGGAGCAACTATTTTTCAAACTCAGTTTTATCAAAAACAGAAGTTCAAGAAACATCCATACACACTGCAGATTACTCATTTATGTGAAAAAATTGTAAGGCTAGAAAACAGTTTTTAAAATCATTTGTTTTATCTTATAACTCTTCCTTTATTCAGATAACAAGTTCAATATAAATACCTCATAAAAAGTATTTACAGATGCTCAAATCAATAAGGGTTTGGCCTACATTATGTGTACTAACCAAATTGTAATGCTTTTTATCATTAAAAGATAATGTGCATATATTTGTAAAATTAAATACAATTATTGTTTCCAAATTTATACAAAGAAGCTCTAACTATTGAAATCTAGAAAATCCTAAGTATTCCACTTTAACAAGTATTAAAAGCTATTTATAAAGTTAAATATTATTGTCATTTCAGTTAATTGAACATACAAATAGGATAAAACTGTCGACTAAATCAGTTTTAACATATTTTAGTTCCCCTCTGAAATTACCAAATTATTTTCTTTGTATAAAAGCACGACTGTAATTAAAATTAATTAATCATATAATTAGAAGTAATGGACATTTGGAAACAGAAAGATGAAACTAGACCCCTGCTTAGACCTGAGATTTCCTCTCAAGGTCGTTACCATGAAGAAGTGACAACATGAAATTATATGACTCATTATTTTATACTAGTTTTTACAATAGTAATTACTAAATATATTTTGAGAAGCTATGTAAAACTTCTTAGGATATAGAAATTTTCAATAACTGTAAAATTCTGAATTGCTAGTAGAAAATTTATAACATTGTACTTTATTACTGTCATTTCAAAGTGACTTTTGAAAAAATCTGTTTGAATTAATAAATATACTCAATAAAGGATTAATTTTAAAATTATTTCTATGATATTTAACAGCTTCAATTGTTAGTATGCTCAATAGATACATATACATTTCAAATGTGTCCCTCATAATCTGATACCGCAAATATGACTTGAAGGTTTTCAAAAATATAGAAGGAAAAGAATAAGAAACTTTTCATAATCCAATCTTTTTATTTTATTTTATTTTTGAGTTGGAATCTCACTCCATCGCCCAGGCTGGAGTGCTCATGGCCACCCCAGCATTCTCCTGCTGGGCTCTGACTGTCCTTCTGCCTCAGACTTCCAAATAGCCAGAACTACGGGTGTGCGGTACTTTGCCTGGCTAATATTTTTTTAATTATTATTATTGTAGAAACAAGGTCTCGCCAAGTTGCCCGGGCTGGTGTTGAACCCTCGAGCTCAGGCGATCCACTCACCTAGGCCTCACAAAGTGCTGGGATTACAGGCTGAGCCACTGAGCCCTGCCAACCCAATCATTTAAAAAGGGTTGAGAGTTCTGTGTATTCTTTTTAGCCCATATTACAAATTGTAAGTAATAGAATATGTTTATTAATAAAATTTATTTGCCTTCCAAAAAACACTTATTTCACTGATTAATATTTTGAACCATCTAAAGTTAAATCCAGGGAAAGTAAATCTCGGTATAAATACCAGGAGAAAATCTAGGTGAATTACACAAAATCAAGTGCATTCAAACATTGTCAAGCAATAGAAGTTGAGAGTGTTTTCTTGAATTTTCTAATTTCCTTTTTTCTTTTCCAGCCTAAAATTTTGAAGGGCTGACAGAATTATCACTCACACCTCTTCTCAAAGAAGCAGTATACAATTTAATAAATAAAAATACACTTTCCCAAGTGTTGATAAAGCTTTTCAAACCAAAAGTTATCTTAATGTGTCTATTAGTCATATTAGTGGCAGCAAATGACACTGATCCATTTTTAGGTGCGATCATAGCATCTGAAGAATTTTCCTGAACAGGCTACTTAGCACAATCTGGCAAATTGTACTAACTACCATTTGCGCTTACAATTTTCAGTGATATTGTAAAGAACAATCACTCATTTATTTGCCTAATTCTCCCAAAGAGTTTGCACTTTGTAATATATGTGTATGCCATGATATTTGGGTTTCTAACTTCTTGATATATTTACTATTTATTTCCTTTGAATGTATCTGTTTTAATATGAAAATTATCTCTTCTCTGAAATTAATTTTTTAGGTCAATCTCTTGGCTTTCGGAGTTATCATATACAAAGTCTTTCGTCACACTGCAGGGTTGAAACCAGAAGTTAGTTGCTATGAGAATATCAGGTAAATGTTTCTTTAAGCCTATTTCTTTGGTAACTGAAAGCTTTAGGAAGTCAAAGGACAAGTAACTTTTAGAATTGTTGTTTTTAAATGATTTTAAATGTTGATTTTAAATGATTTTAAATGTTGATTTTAAATGATTTTCAATCTTTCTTCCACCATATTTAAAATAATTATGGAAAATAGCATTTCATATGTTTATAAGACTAAAATCTACAGGTTAATTGGTAACTGAAGCAATTTTTTCAAACATACACCCCTTTGAAATGGAAAGATGGTACTGTGTTTTAAGGCAAAAGTAGACCTTAGTGATGTTCTTTTGTAAAATGTTTTTCAGAGCTCGATAACTGTTTCTTTCTTGTTATTCCTAGTTTGCATGTTGCCATGATTTTTCCTTCAACCCTTCTCTTTAAAACTGATTTATTGAGACCTTGAAAATGATTTGTCCAGGAAAAGCTGAAGTATACTATAGGGAACATTGGAAACAACTGACTATTTGTGTTGCTTGGGAACACTCCTGTAGTTTCAATACCTTACACAAGATTTATAGTTGGAATTTAGCAAATGTTTGATCGATTACTTCTTTTTTAGCCCTCACCATTCATAGTTTCATGTAGTGCGCTGGGTTTAATAAAGTTAAAAATTACTTATTTTTTGAGATATGCTGCTAAAACACCTGCAGCAAAGGATGATTGGACTAAAACTGAATGAGCAAATAATCATGAGCTGCTTTAGCTTCAAGGCAGTGTACTCAGTACGCAGGATGGAATATTGTCTTCCCCAAAGTCACAGGCAATCAGTTGAAAATGTGTAAGAGCGAGTATGCGTGTGTATTTTTTCTCTAATTTTCAAGAAGACAATATTCTGCAGTGAATTTATTTTGACGTAACTGTATCGCAAAAGCAAAAAAATAAATAAACCTACTTTTATATCCTACGCTCTTTTCTCTACTAAACCTGAAAGGAAAGCAGTCTCCTTTGATGTCATGGATATGGGTTGACCCAAGTCCACATAATCTACTTTTCAGGGTTTCGTAGGGAAAAGACTTCCTAACAGATATATGTCTTCCTGCATATATGAATTACTGCAACATTAGATTTGAAATCAAAGCATACACACTGCAGTACACCAGATAAAAGTGTTTTAAGAGGACGGAAATGCCTTTAAAAATACCATGTTTTAATAACTGTACCTTGACTTTGGAAGTATACCCCTGCCACAGTACAGTAGCATACCCTGAAGGCTGCCCCATGAAACTGCAGCATAACTTGGTTTCGGAAATTATTCTTGGTCTCTAAGATTTCCTGATGATACCCCAAACTCACTTCCACTTAATTTGAGGAAGGAGTCTGGTGTGCTGACGGATGTGTCGAAGGTGCAGGGCTTTCGTCAATGAAACATTCCAAATCTGTTCTAGGTCTTGTGCACGAGGAGCCCTCGCCCTCCTGTTCCTCCTCGGTACCACCTGGATCTTTGGGGTCCTCCACGTTGTGCACGCATCAGTGGTTACTGCGTACCTCTTCACAGTCAGCAATGCCTTCCAGGGGATGTTCATTTTCTTATTCCTGTGTGTTTTATCTCGAAAGGTAAACAGTTTCTTATTTTGTATTGTCATGCAGCATCAGTTCTCAAATTAATAGAAAATCCTGATCCTCATAGATTTATGACTTCTGCCTTTATTGTCTAAGTGCAGTGGATTTTAGTGCAAAAATCATTAGGATACCTAGGCGCTCATAGGAAAATATGCTTTTTAAAAATCTTGCTATTAGGGGCACAAATATAGCTTATATTCACTTGAGCATATCCTGGCAAATAATCAGAAAGCAATAATACCCTAGAAAACCAGATGTAACAATTTATTGTGATTTGAAAAATTTCAATGTGATTATCACTATTATATGTAACATTTCTTCCTTTCTTCTTCTGTTTTCTTTCTCTCTCTTTTTTTTTTAGATACAAGAAGAGTATTATAGATTGTTCAAAAATGTTCCTTGTTGTTTTGGATGTTTAAGGTAAACATGGAGAACTATGAATAAATATAACTGCACAAAAATTTTTAAAAATTCAAGCTGTGGATGAACAATGTGCAAAAAATGACTCAAATCATCAATTTATCAGTTACTAGATAATCAAATATTTTCAATCAGTTTTTCTGTTTACAGTATAGGAACTGTAGATAACAAGAGATGAAATTATGTACCATGCAGCTATAATATGCTTTCCCACACGACATAGTTATGTCAAAAATAGTATAGCAGTTATTTGGAAAGTAATTGGTTTCTCAGGAGTGATATCACTGCACCCAAGGAAAGATTTTTTTTTTCTAATTCAAGAATTATATGAATATCCTGAAGGAAACCACTGGCTTGATATTTTTGTGACTCATGTTGCCTTTGAAACGAGTCCCCTACCACCTTGGTAATGAGCTCCGTTACAGAAAGTGGAACATATGAGAAAGAAGGAGTAGAATGTCAAACAGTGCAAAGGGAATGAGAACAATGAGATGTATTCTGAATAAGCTTGCTTTTCTGTAAACTAGATGAGAGACTGTTGAGATAAAATAAAGGATTGAAGAAACACGTCTTACCATTTTGTGAATTGTTCTGAACTTAAATTTTTACTAAGACCTCTGTTGGCTGTATCTAGTTCTTTTCCTAATAGCCTAAAAAAAAAAAAAAAGCTCCACAAATTAGAAAAAAAAAACCCAAGAGTATCTGTTTTTAGGTTACCATTAAATTGAGATATATGCTATTTCTATACTTATTTCTGATTCTTAATCAGTAAAATATAAGCTTGTCAAAATATCTTGCCAATGTTTGTAAATATAAAAATGGTGTGTATAAAGTTGTAGTATTCTATTCTATTATCTTTCAGTCTAGTGAAAATCATTCCATCTCATTAGACAAGTATATTTGAGTTCCTTATTATCTTTAATCTTAGAAATATTGCCGGTCACTTTACATTATCCCCTTTTAATTTGCTATTTTTAAAAGGGCATTGTAAATATGAAAGTATTCATAAAGTGAATTGCTATTTTTTCTATCCAGAAAAGTACACTTTTAAAAATGTTATTTATAACAAAGAAATTATCAAGACTATAGAAGTTTTCACAGTGGTTCTATTTTCTGACAGTCTTCTATCTATTAAAGCAGATCTGCTTACCTGTGTGGCTTCTATCTACCCTTAAATCTTCTCATTAATGTGTAGAAGCAGTGGCTTTGAATTAAAAATATTTATATAAGTAATTGTTCCTCACCTACCTGGAAAAGTGTGCCAATACGCTAAATGTGATTTTAAATTAATTTCTCCAGCTGTTGAAATGAAGTCTGCCAAATCTTGCTCTCACAAATAAAATGTTATCTAAATGAAGCGATTCTGCTCCTGCTTTGCCGAGTTGTTATCTCAAGAAAGAAAGATTGCCAGTAGGTCTTTTCTGTTTGTAGACAATCTATGATAATAACTTGTTATTATATCTTCTCATTTCCAGTAAGCCTGTGATCTATTATTCTCATTGCCATTAGGGGATACTGTTATAGGAATGTGATGTTGAAATATAGATCTGTTCACTAAATATACACAAAACTATATGTAGTAGACAGAATAATGCCACCCTCAAAATGTCCACGCCCTAATCCCTAGAACCTGTGAATCTGTTAGATTACATGGTAAAGAGAATTAAGGTTGCTAATCAGCTGACCTTGAGATGAAGAGATTATCCTTGATTAGCCAGGTGGGTCCCAAGATCATCATGAGGGTCCTTATAACTGAAGGAGAAAGGCAGAAGAGGGAGGGTGTCACAGTGACACAGACTCTGCCAGCCATTGCTGCCCTGAGACAGAAGAAGTCCACAAACCAAGGCATGAGGGTAGCTTCTAGATGCTGAAAAAGGCAAGAAAATGGATGCATCCCTAGAGCCTCCAGAAGGAACTCAGCCCTGCTGATCCCAGAGTTTAGCTCAGGGAGACCCATTTCAGACTTCTAACCTCCAGATCGGTAAGACAATAAATTTGTATTGTTTTAAGCCACCAAGATTGTGATAATTTGTGACAGCAGCATAGGGAACTAATACTATGGAAGTATTTATGCAATAAGATTGTTAGAAACAAACTACTATTCCTGTCACTAGGGCGTTAGCTCAAGTGTCTCATTTTCACCCACTTTCCCACAGAGAGCGATGGAGAAAGCCTGTGTTCCTAAACGTGGTATTTAATCCACATAACTGCTCATCTCCCCCATTTTCGTTTTTGTTCTATGAACATTTTTTTGTTTATACCGAACTGTTTACCTTTCTCCAAACTTACTGTGGTTTACTAAATTCCTTATTTCCTCCAAGTGCCAAACTGTGCCCTGACAAATATCTGCCTGTCCCAAATGCATCTTTCTCTATGAATCCTTCCTTGGCTCACACAAGGAATCGATCACTTCCACATTGTGTCACGATGTGTCTACTACTTATCTCTTTAACATTTATTACACAGTAATGCAATGATTTAGCCCAACCTCAGAACATTCATTGTGCGGAGTTTTGTTCTGCCTTGAAGGCAGCTACCTTTTTTCTTTGGGGATTCCTGTATCAGTATGACTTATCTTCTGCTGCCTCCTGACCATGTGATTGATGTGATAGCAGGTCTGGACGCTCTGAACAGTCTGGCCTTTGCGCTTTTGCTTTTGGCATTCCCTTCTGGAAGCCCACTGACGCAAGCCCCTCATGCCTGTCTCCCAGCCATCATACAGTTAGGTGGGAAGGGATGGCCCCACAATTTCAAATCAGTGAAGGAGAAGAGACAGAGGAATTAGGTCATCAGGCTAGCCTTGAGTTTGTACTTTGCATCAGCTCAATTTTCCAGAAAAGACATTTCTGGGGGATTTGTAAGGAGCTTGCCAAAATAATAAAGCCAAGCTTCATTTTCCATTTGGTGGTTATTCCTCATTACATTCCTCAATTCATAGTGAGTAGGGTAAATATAGGATTTAAGAGTCAACATCCTCAATCTGTAAAACATATCACGAGTTCATCAGTCAATCCTAATGTACAAATGCCGCTTTCCTTCATAAACAAATGGAGGGGGAGTCAGGGAGTTATAAGATCTCAAAAGATTCAGAGAAACTCAATACTTTAAGCTTGGCCTCAAGCAGTGAGGTAGACACACATCAAAGTATAAGATACATTCTCTGACTGTATGAAAACTTGCTATTAACTGGAGATGTAATAATTCCCTGATTTAAAAAAATCTGTCAATCAATTGATTATACTGTGGTTAGAAAAACTTATTTACATGCAACATAGCAATTAGAAAATATATGAGAGAGTCTATAAACAAATACCTCCCGATCTGCATATAGGCATCACCAACAATCCTTATACAATAATTGGATGGTGACATCATTTCTTCAGTCCTTTTCAATTCAATGCCAGCCCCTTAAAATTAAGCACTAACTCAGCATTTGTTAATTTTCTGTATAGTCTGTCTAACTTATTATACCTATGTTCAATGCCCTATACAATAGAACCCTTTCCTATGTGTCAACATGATTATCTAATTTCCCCAACCTGACATTTTTTAGGAAAACATGACCTTTGAATTCAGTATGGATTCAGAATGAGTACCCTCTTGTCCAGGTTTCTCCTCAACCTGGAACATTTTCCTCCATGCAAAGTCTATCCATCATTCAAGACTCTACTCTATGAAACTCTCTGATCAATTTGGTCCTTATTAATTTCCCCAATCACTACAACTATAGCACTTACATAGTGTACAAGATAAGATAGCACTTAATAGGAATCGTTGGGAAGTCATCGTTGGGTGTTCAGGCTTCAAATTCCTAGGTTTTAGATGATTGACAGGAGAGAAAGAACTTAGTAAGGGTATTTAAAGAAAAAAAAAGACGTCTTTCTTGAAAGTAGATACAGGTTCAAATTATTAAACTGTGCTAGCTCATTTAATTCTCATGGTAAAATATACAATTATATTCTCATAGCCTCAGCTTTTCAATGCAGAAAATGCTTAAAATCACCCAAGTAGCAGATGGCAAAGTTAGGGTTCAAACTCAAAGTTCCAGTTCCTTCTGCCGTCCCGTAAAACCCTCAGAAGCTTGCTCAGACTTCACTCAGACAGAAATTGAAAATGGCTAGACTCATACTCCTGGCCCTTGGGACCCATTCCACAACTATACATTTGTATATTATAAAGACAACAGTCCTATTTTCGGTTATGTTCTCTGAGGTGTGGAGGGAGCATGGCATACTTTTTTAACATGGAATTTTGACATGTCTTTTCACATGCATATGCAGTGTGAAATATACAAATATCATAGGTGGCAAGGTGAAGGGCATTTACTATTTTTCTATGGCCTGACTGTCCTTTCTTTGTAGATGTATTCCTGTCCCCCATTCCTACTCTCACCCTCAACCAGGCAATTCACCTCAACAAACGGGCTTATATTCTTGTGTATTTTTCTTCCTGTCCATATCAGCATGATGAAATCATGAATATGAGCTCACATTGTAAAGATGTCTTTGCTTCTCTCATTTGGTAAATGAACAAATACACTTCATTAATTCTTTTTAGTGGCTAAATAATATTCCATATTAAGTGTGGACCATAAACTGCCCAGCTAGTATACAATCTGGATTAATGCAATAATATATTAAAACAACAACAACATCAGTGCCTTTCAGAAACATGCAGTCTGATTTTGTTGTCGAAAATACCAGTTGCTGACATTACCTTTTTTCCGAAGATAAAGGTGGACCCATGTTGGCATGGGTTATGGCCAAACACCATAACCCTTTCACTGATGTACAGGTTTCTTGTCACTTCTGGTAAGTATTCAGTAAAAACCACACCATGGATTTGAGATCCACAAAGCTCCTTGAGCATTTTCATTGAAGTGTAAAGAATTTGAATTATTTACCCTGCACTGACGGCTTGACAAGCATTAAGACCGGTACGCAGTCTGAAAGTACAGAACATTGTACTTGGTGGCTTCATTTGGACATTGCACATCCTAGATTTGTGTGACAATTATGGTTAATACAAGACGAAAGTGTTAGCCTAGCTGCAACAGATCTCTTCCGGCACCACTGTGCTCTGTTTCTAATTCCAGCCTCCATTTTGGGGCATTGTAAATAATGAAATCTATAGCATATATTACAATTGCATACAGTCAAAAATAAGAGAAAAAAATAATAGGTTTCTTTCAGAAATTGTCCTTTGAAAATGTGGTTTTATTTCCTATTGGGCTGCAATTTGCCATATATCAGCATCTAAGGGCCAGGCTGTTCAACCTGAAAATGATTATTTTCTTTCCTTTCCTTAATGTATCAGAAGTGCATCTAAAAGAACCTCCAGTATGCAGGGGGGTTAATTATCCTGGCAGTCAGTTAAGCTTTGGAAGTTTTCAGTGATAAGAACAGAGCCCTAAAAAAGACTCCCTGCTACTGCTGCCTGCTGTGAAGAAACAACCGTGTGTGGCCACCACTGCAAATACTGTTCAAATTACCCTAAAATTTCCTTGCTTTTCTGTGCATCCTGGCTCCCAGAGAGCAGCACTGTGCCGGTGAGGTCATTTACCCTGTCACTTCAGCCCAC